GTGTTTCATAATTCTCAAACATGAACTTTGTAGATGACAACACCATGTTGACATCCAAAGGTTCACCATGTCTGCTATAGAGATCTGCTTTTGAGAATTATCTAAATAAATTAAACATACCAATTTCAGTAAAATTCCAAATGATAAGCAAACATGTTTTATTTTAGTGTACAGAACATTTTTTTTCTTGGTAGTGCATAGAGAAAGAAAACAATGTTTCCCGCAAGTGACAGCTTCCTCAATTCGGTGTAATGTAATACATAATTAAGAACATTTAAACAGAAGGTGTGTCGTGTAGTGTTGTTTGCCTGCAAACAATGAGCAATCTACCCAAACCTGAATGAACCATAAAATATGTGTGTCGGCTCAGAAACTGAAAGATCTTCAAGGTTGGAAACACTTTGTAGTTAATTTATACCAACTGGTCACTGATACTAGAACTGCCCATCTGTTAATCCTCATGGCTAAGCCGTGCCCTGTGCTACTTACTTAAGTCAATGGACACCTTCCCTTGGAAATGAGAATGGGTCAGGCCTATCAAATGGCCAGGCTGCTGTCCAAGAGTTCATGGTTTGGCCATGAATAAGAATGAGAGATAAATTCTTTCTGTTCTTTTCAAGGGTCAGGGAAAATGAAGTAAGGGGCACGAGGGTTCTGGGGCAGTGACCAGAAGCCATGTCGTAGTCAACTGAGGAGTCGAGGGGGCTCCTGTTCTTGCCATCCAGTTAGTGAAATAGAAAGAGAAGAAATGGGGGCAAATGCAGCTGAGCACGGGAGACACAATCCATAGACTTCCTGATTCTAGTGCTTTTGTAAGTGTGTGAAACCAACCTGCTGGGCTAAGGTAGTGGTTTCCAGTTGGTCCAATCTACAACTTCACAAATGAAGAGTCCTCTCTCTTTGTCAAGTCAAGTGGTTCATTGGTTTTCTTCCAAGGAGCAAGCATATTCTGGCTTGGGAAAACTTAGCTGAAAGCCAATGCCATCAAGTAGATTTCTTTTTTTCTTTTAATTAATTTATTCTTTGATATCCCTACCAAAGTTTCCCCTCCCTTCTCTCCTCTCAGTTCCTCATTCCCACCTCTCCTCTGCACCCTACCCCATCCATTCCTCCTCCATTTCTATTCAGGAAAGGACAGGGCTACCATGGATACTGACAAAACATGGCATATCAAGTTGTAGTAAGACTAAACACCTCCCCATGTATTAAGCCAGATAGACTCTAGGTCGAAGGTTATATGGCTGATTTTGTGGGTGGACTTGGGGGCAGGTAGGGATGGAAACATGAGGGACCAGGTGGGGGTGGGATGGGGAGGAGAGTGTGAATCAGGTTTCTGATGGCTCTGTGATCAGACACCATTAGCACAGAGTCCTTTTGCTCTCAGAGTTTGCTGGTAGGAGACTCTAGAGGCTTACAAATTGGGCTGCTGATGTCATTTTTCAAATTCTATGGGTGACTGCTGAGTTAAATGTACTTCAAACAAACTGAAATAATTGGCCTGGGTCTGGATGCAATCTCACATCTCTCTATGAGAGAAGAGTTCTGAGGAAAGTAGTTATATTAAATGCAACTTTGAAATAAAGACATCTTAAGCTTCTCAATTCTGATGTGCACATTGTAAATTTATTATGGCAAAGAACATGGACCATATATGTACTACAAAAATCCCTTTGTTGATCTCTCTCTCTCTTTCTCCTCCGTTTTTGTTTTCTCCTTTCTCATTCCTCTCAATAAAATGTGTTTAATGGTGGAAATTTGGTTTACATGAATTATATTCAAAGTTATTTTCTGTAAAATAAATTCTGCATGCCATTATATTTCCATCTCTGCTTCATCATTGCCTTCCTAGCTAACACAATAATATTATCCAAGTCATCCCCTATTACATCACCATTTCCCTTCACATTTAGGCAACAATATCATTTTCTGATGAAGCTATTTTTCCTTGTTAAAACAGACAAGGCATTTCATACATTCAGACTCAGTTATGCAGTTGCATGATTGATTCCAAAAGAGGACTAGAGTTCAGGCAAATAACAGTTGCCCTTATCTGCTCAGTACAGTCTTTCTTCTGCTAGATCCGGGGAAACGACTCAGGTAACTGGACTTGAGGGTGAAGTGGAGGGCAGTTAGTTCAGATGAATTCCCCAGGAAGCAGACTCTGAGACACAGTGAATGTGCCAGATGTCTGTTAACAAATGCTTCAGGATTTGACATCTGGGAAGAGAGAGGAAAGAAGCTGCAGTAGACTACAGGAGAGGATGAAGTGGGAACCAGGCCTAGTGCCAGGCCCTGCTGACCCCATGCAGAGCTCTGATGGAAGTCGGCCCCTTCATTATTACATTGGGGAAGCCAAGATGGCCAGGCCTTTGTACAAGTCATCGATCTGTTACTGGTGTGGGCTGCCCCAGGAGGGTCAAGGTTCTGAGTGAGATGTCGTTTTGCAGCTGAGACAAGCCCTGAAAAATCTGCTCATGAAAGGCTGTCTTCTGAAATCAGTGGTCCTCAGACAGGGGTGATTTGTCCCTTAAGGAACATTTAACAATTTAGGCATTTACTGTCATGACTACAGAAGTGTCCCTGGCATCTAGTGAAATGTGTCCAGGGACACTCCAAACATGCACAGGCCAGCCTCCAGGGGAAAAAAAAGTATGTGATCCAAAGCATCAATAGTGCTGCAATAAGGACAACCTGCTCCAGGCCAGTAAATCCTTTGAAACAACCTGCTAGTAGACATCACTGAGTCCACTCTTGGTGTCATCGTTAATTTGGATGTAGCTTGTTAGACAGTGTTGCCTTCCTTTTTCCTCTTAATATTCCAACAAACCTTTGGAGGCTCGGATCAAGGTTTCTTTTTGCCCATGAGGAAACTGTCTCTTAAGTGAATTAAATGAATCAGTTAAGTGAGCTGCTGCAATCATGAAGTGGAAGGAAGAAGCGTGGGGTAGAAAGTACCTGTTTGTGGAAATAGTTGTTGTGTTTTCTTTCTCCTGAAAGTTCAAAACATGCCACCCCCAAACACACCTGTCTAGCTTATTGACTGCTCTGAGTTGGAGGCAGAAGAAAAGACAGAGTACAAGAGCTAGTAATTTTAGTAAAATAATATAAAATTAATGAAGATAAAATTAAAACAAACAGGAATAGAACAAAGTAAACAAACTACCAGAAGAAAAAGAGCCAAAGAAAAGGTACAAGAAACACATACAGATGCAAAGACACATATTCACACAGAAAGAAATAAAGTAAAAACAGAACACCAGAAACCATCATGTATACTCAAAGGATGTATAAATGGAGGAAAGAAGAAAAAGAACAAAAAGAAAAAAATAAAAATAATGCTCAATAAAGCATTATGAGACAAGGAACCTCTAAAAATACTATTGAGTAGATTTGATGTTGTCCATTTACTGCTGTTCATGGGGTCTGTCTTAGTGTTTTGGAAGATTTGTACTGCTGTGTAGAGACAACATGACCATGGCAACTCTTATAAAGGAAAGCATTTAACTGGGGCTGGGTTACACTTTCAGAGGTTTAGTTCATTATAGTCATGGCAAGAAGCATGGCAGCCTGCAGGCAGACATAGTGCTGAGGAAGGTGCTGAGAATTATACATCCTGATATGCAGGCAGCAGCAGGAGACTGTGTGTCACACTGGGCATAGCTTATAAAACTGAAACTCACTCTATAGACCAGGCTGGCCTTGAACTCACAAAGATCCTCCTACCTCTGCCTCCAGAGTGCTGAGATTAAAGGCGGAATCACCATCGCCCAGTGGTGGTTTTCTGTGATAGTCTCTGTTTACTGCAAAGAGAAGTCTTTTTGATGAGGGTGACAGCCACACTTATCTGTGCATAAAAGATAAGTTTTAGAATGCAATTAGGAAGTATGCTACTCTAGTAAATTGGAATTAGTGGGTTCTCCTTAAAGATTCACAACTTTACTAGTTCTAATTAGTTGGCTAAGTTATAAGCTTTTAATAGTTGAAAAATCACAAAGATCAGAAAGACTTGATTAATTGACCCAGAAGTGAATCCACACCTGATTCACATTCCACCACTAGAAACCCTCTTCTAAAGTAAAATCTTCATCTGTATTTGCACCTTCATTTTCAAAATGAGAACCCTTACTACTTATCAGCACAATATGGTAGGAGCTATTATATGTCAGTCAGTGTTTAGTACTTTCCCCCAAACAAAATTATATGCACTTTATAAGTTTATAATAAATTTTCCTAATGTATAATTTGCATATGAGAACAAAAATATACAACATTCTTGTAAAATCTAAGTAGCTACTTGATTTTCACTAAATGCATTTTGGTGAATTTTACCAAAAATGTGTGCTTGTGACAAGGCCATAGTTACAGTTGTACCATCCATATTTGATGACTGTTGCCTGGGATTTCCATATTTCATACCACTAATGCAGGGTCACAGCACAGAGGCAGGAAGAGCTTCTTGCTTAGAAGCTAGTACCATGTGATGCCTCTATCATACATATGTAAGAGATGTAAAGAATCCATAAAAACACAATAGAAAAATGTGGCAAAGTGATTGCAAAGTATAAGTTTTGATCATTAGGTTGTCTTTGCTTGGGTGTAATCTATTTCATTATTGATTACATTCTGATTCTTTGTTTGGGACAGGGTTTCACTATGTAGTCTTAGCTAGTCTAGAACTCACTATGTAACTGTAGCTAGCCTCAAACTCACAGAGATCCAGCCATTTCTGCCTTCTGAATGTCAGGGATTACAGTCATGTATCACAACATAAACCTTTCGTAATTTCTTAATAATAATGACTGAACAATTGTCTTAGGAGATTGCTGAAATTTTAACAGCTGGGCCTTGTGAGTTCATCTAAATACTTGAACTCACGGCTCTGAGTGTAACTTCATAAACAGAAGCAATCCCATTATCAGGCAAAATAGACGTCTAGAGGATGATGCTAAAGCAAAGCTGTTCTTTTAAAATTTACTGTTGTTTTTGTGGTTTATTCACAGGCATTTCCCTGCATTTCAACAGGCATTTATGGTAAGTGATTTAACACTTGATGATGTTTGTAAGTTTTTGTTGTTATTGTTAAATTGGTGGGCAGGGGTAAGGAATGGTTAACTGGAAAAATACAAAATTCTTCTGTGGATCTATTTTTCTGTGTCTTACAGAGACTGGAAATGTAGGTCAAGTCCACTCAGGAGTCCCAGAGGGTTATTCAGATTGGTTTGTGTTCTTGAATTTGGTTACATTGAACATCCAGATGAAATGATTTGACACATGGTGTCTCTAAGTCTTTTGTTACATAAAAAAATTTTCTTCTAGCAAGGTTGACTTCTAAAATTGTTTTCTCTAATACACTCAGATTTTTCTCTCACAAAATGTATAATGTACACAAAGCCTATCATCTTTTTTTTACTGTGACTTACAAAAATGTAAAATACACAAACAGTGCATTTTACACAAAGAAGTGGCTATTAATAAAAATAAAAAAAATATTTTAATAACTTGCAAATGTTTTCTTTGCTGGTGTTAATAAATTATTTTAAGTAGTGAAAGATGGACTTTTTCTTAACCTCGTATTCCTTTAAAGACCTTGATGAGAATAAAATGAAAACCAAATAAAATGAAGAAGTCAAAAACTTGGTCATACATTTAAACATTTAAGGTGGACCCTCCTCCTTTTCATATTGCTCTTTACAAACCATGAGTCCTTGCTGTAGAAATGGACAGGTAAGGGCAGGGCTCTCCTAAGCCATTTGTCCATTTCATTTATGTTGCTCCCTCCTCACAAATGCCCTGTTAGAAATCTTAACTATTTGCATATGGGAAGCATTGTGTGCAGGTGGTATCGTGCCTCATTCCAACCTTCAGTGTGTGAGGAGTCTGACCAGTTGACACTACAGATATGATTTTCATTGTGAGGATGTTCCTTCATCACGATCTTAATTTTCCTCAACAATGAATAAACACAGCACTGCCTAAGCCACCACATTGGCTTCTATGTCTATTCCCATGTCAGGCCATTGATGCCTTTGTTTCTGAAAATATTATAGTAATGTGCAAAGAATTACCATAGGATATGCTGTGAAAAGGGAAGTAGCTAGAAAGAAAAACAGGACAGTAAAGGAAGATGAGGAGAGACTATAGATCCAAAAATAGACAGGGAATGCAAAGTCCAATCTAAAGTAGATCCTGGTCAATGTTCTTTCCAGAAGGACAAGAATCCCTTCTTAGAGAGGGAATATGGCTGGCAATCAACAACTGGCTTAGCTTTCCCTTGGGAGGAGAAGGAACTAGTGAAGGCAGTTGGGATTGCAGTTGAGTGGCTCATGCTCGCTTGCTGAAAGGGCTGGGCATTCTTTACTTTTCTAATGGCTGTGGTGAAATTCCCGGCAAAAGCAACTTAAGGAAGAACAGGGATTATTTTGGCTCTTTGTTTGAGGGTACCATTCCTCATACGGTACTGGTTGTAGGAACATGAGAGAGCTGGTCATATTGTATTCATAGTCACGAAGAGAATGTGAGAGATGCATGCTGCTCAGCTGGTATCCTCCCAAGGGGCACTTCTGTGTACATTCAGGGTGGGACTTTCCTTCTTAGTTAAGCATCTATGGAAATACCTTGCAGATACCTAGAGAGGTATGCCTCTCCTAGGTGATTGCAAAGCCAGTCAATCTGACAATGAAGATTAGTCATTGTCATTGCTACCAGGCAAAGGCAAGTAGGGCCATTTGCACAATACTGGGTCAAAAAATACAGTACTTAAGTCATGACTTCTCATCTTGATTTTCTTTGTTCAGGGAAATTTATGAATGAGGATGAAACCCACGGCAGTCAGGGGCCAGAGACCCATGTTCACTTTTAATCCATGGCACTGACTTGTAGAAAATTCCAAGATGTTGTAGTTTATGGCCTGTTCTACGTTGGGCAGTTTGAGAGTGATATCCGTTTCCATTATGAAACCAAAGCTTTCTCATTAGTCCTTGACCCTTTGGCAGGACCCGTATATTGTTGCATAGTTGTCTTCTTATTCTTATTCAGAGTCTGGTAGCACATCTTTCTTAATTAGCTGCATTAGTTTTACTTTTATCTTGGTTTCTGGAAGGTTGATTTAGTAAAATATTTAAAGAAAGTCATCTTTCACTACAAAGGAAAAATAAATTAAAAACAAGCAAAGACTGAAAATTGTAGTTTCAGGTACAATTGATTTTGAGCAAATTTTTAGAATAATCATAGGTTTCATTCCCTGCCTTTCTTATTCTATACTGCAAAACTCGCTAAATTAATTTTTCTGTATCGCCACTTGCTGCGTGTTTCCCATCTGCTCAGGAGCCTTGGATTGCATTCGATTACTTGAGAGTTCATCTTCATTCTCCCTCCTTGGAACAATGGGCACTTTCTATTTATATTCCCTGAAACTATTGCACTTTCAAAAAGAGGAAAAAACCCAAACCCAGGCTAAGAGGATGTGAAGGAGTGTACTCAGATTTATATGCTTTCACACGTTTAAACAAACAATTTAGTTTGCAGTGGCTTTGGTTTGGTTTTGGATTATTTGAAGCAATGTCTTTGAACTTATGATCCTGCTGTCCCAACCTCCTGAGTCCTGGGGTTACAGATGTACAACATCATGCCCAACTTGCACAGTTTTTATTTAAGTAATTAATTTATTTACTTTTGCCAGAGATGTTATTTTTGATGAAACACTTGTCAGGACTAGTATTTATTTCAGAACATCCCTTGACATTCCTCCATCCTGACACATCCTCTGTAACACAAACCTGAGAACATATGTGTAACAAAGTCTAATCATTCATCTTCCCTATAATACACTCTTTTGACACACACACACACACACACACACACACACAAACACGAGACAAAGTTTTAAGTTATCTGCACTATCTCCACCTTTGCTCTCTACCTGTTACACCAAGAAGAAACATGCTGTGCACATCTGGGCAGGTTGCACTTCCATCTCCAGGAAGTCCTGTGTCCATTGCACCTCCTGAGACCTTTGGACATTTGAACATGACTTATAAATGCTTCCTCATGTTACTTCATGCAGTTTTCCAAATAAGTTTCCTACTCACAACCAGTTTGGATTCTTGTTATCATTATCATTATTATTATTTTGTGGTGTGCAGTGTCAAAACCTGAGAGTCTTGTTCTTGCTGGGTAGGTGTTGTACCACTAGCTGTACCTCTTAACAAGCAGGCTTTGTCAAGATTCACAGCACCCTGGTGCATATACTGCTTATACCCTATATCCAGAAGAGCACTGTGTCCAATGATTAGCAAATATTCATTGTTGTGGAGAGTAATAATGTCACACAAATTGTTGCCTAACTGAAGATATAGAAAAAAAAATTGATTGGTAAAATAATAGGCAGAGAAAGCTAATCAGTTGTCATTTCCCTTTTAAATTTCCTCCTGATAAATATTGTACATATTCACCTGATATCATGAGATGTTTTGCTATATGGATACATTGTGCAATTCTCAAATCAAGCTCTATATATTCATGACCTCAAGCATAATTATGGTCAAAACCTTCAAAATCATTTCTCTTTGCTTTTTGAAATATCTAATACTTTGTGGTCATCTATAGCCAACATACCTAAGTGGTATCTTATTGGTGGATGAACAAGACTAGTTTAGGGAAAAGAAACACTTCTAGAAAGCATCTCAATTTAGAATAGGTGTTTGTAGGCATGGCAGGTCAAATAATAACACAGAACTTGCTCACCTGAGAGCCCAGTCTGAACAGGGCCCAGGCTGAACAGGGCATTTCACTTAAGCAGAAATCCTTTGTGGTTTGTTACAGCTCCTAGGACTATGGTCACTGGGGGACATACAGGTTAGTGAGCGAGCGTATTATGACTTCTGACATGCCTCACCCCCACAGGCTTCTCCAGAAGCTGTCATTTATCAGTCACTCGCTTTCTTTGTGTTTATCATCACATTTTAGAGTTTGGCCTGAAAAGGAGCTGCCATCCTGCTCTCTCAATTTTGAGTATCGTGGATGTATATTTTGAAAATGTTTCATTAAAAACAAGACACTCTAGTGCCCATGCAACTTCCACGGCATTCTCATCTGACAGAAACTCCAAATGACTACCATATTCGGAGAGTGCCTACAGGACAAGACTTACCCCAGCACTCAGGGCCAGGTGGCCTCAACAGAAGCCACCCCACCCCCATGCCTTTTCCTACTCCCTAGCCTTGTGGAGGCAAACTCTGCAGTACCCCCGATACAGCTGAGGAGAACAGCCTACCCCATGCTTCAACCTGATTTAAGGAAGAGACATGGCTGGAACAGACCCTGCCTCCTTTGAAGTTTCCCTGGAGGAGAAACCTGACTACCACAGGGCCTCTCAGGGCTGTCTGACCGCCCCTACATAAGTTTTTCAGCACAGCTGCTCAGGGCCCCAGACCTCCTGCTGACTCTCAGGATGAAAAGCCTCATTTAGGAAGGCACCAAAGAAAAGCCAGTGTTACTTTTAGAAAAATAGATCCAGGTGAGGCTAACCCTCCTGATCGCTGTTAAACATTTGAACTGGCCTCCACATTAGTCTCAGAGGGACGATTCTGAACTTCTCTGATGGACTTTTCAGACCTGATGCATGCCTTCTGCCCTCCAAGCCCCATTTGGATACTCTGGTGGTAATAAGTTTAACAACAACAGCAACAAAAGACTAGACATGATACAGAGCAAAGGAATTTTTACTAGAAGCAAATGGCAAAAATAATTTTGGTCCGTTTTATGAGAGTCACTAGAGTTAACTGATATAAAGTCCAGGCAGAAATCTATGTCCATTTGAGTACTTGGAAATTGAGTAAACAGTCTCTCAGGAGAAAAAGGAAACTATCTGAAGTGTTCTTGTATATACGGGGTATTTTTAGAGAGAAGGAAATTTTAGACAACAGGTTACTGGCTGAAAACCCGAAGAGCACCTTCAGTACAATATTGCTTAGTTGAAGTACCTGCTAGAGTGCAAGGTCTATTTTTTTCAAAATCCTTACCAAATGTTGCAG